AAAAAAAAAAAAAAAAAGAAATAGTGAGACTATGGGGGAACTCTCATTCATTCTATTCAAAGTTGTCTGTACCTATGACCCTCGTTCACAACACCACATCAATCTCCAATAGGGACAGGGGGAGTGTTGAGCTGGGTCCACTTGCAAACTCATGTAAAAATCTGAAAGGTGATCCAGAACAGTAAGTGTGTAGTTCTCAAGACCACCTATGGACCTTCCCATTGTAGAACCCAATGTGGGAAGGTGTTGCAGGGAATTCAGTTGAACCATCTCCCTGCCCCCGCTTCAGTGAAGAATCTTTTCCAAGAGATTCTTAAAGATGGCCATTTAAGCCTCAATCTGATTGACTTCCTGCTGTAGGCAAGGGTAAACTCCAAGGGGAAAAAAAGTGCTTAGACAGGTTCAATATTTGGTAAGCCAAGTAAGGAAATATGATTAGTTGCTAATGGTGATCTAAAACAAAACACTGAACCTGAGTAGGTCACAGCTTCTTGTCAGTCAAATCAGGCCTCTTCCCCCACCCCACCCCCATCACAAACAATATCCATTTTATTTATATATCGGGGTTCCAGGTGAGAACTTGAAGAAAAAGCTTTGATACTAAAAAAAAAAAAAAAAACTTTTAAAAAAACTTTAAGCTTGTAAACCACCAAACAGGATATCTTATATTTCTATTTGATTATTTTAAAATTAGCCTTATGGATACTGGTTTAAATGTTACTGCTCTAGGAAAGAAGTTGAGATCAAGCCAAAAAACCCAAAGCCAGCAGGGGTCACACTTTCTCAGAAGCCCTCAGTGAAAGAAGAGCACTCTCCAGAATTGGAAGCTGGGTGGGTAACTCATCTCCCATTTCCTCTGCCCCAAACAATGCTTAAGCATCAAAAGGGCAAATAAAGAAGGTGATGAAGACAAGAGACCCAAACATTAAAAAGAGTCAAGACAGAAGAAATAAAGGACTGAAATTAATCTAAGAAATTAGGTCATGGTAACAAAGAAGAGGTGCTGTGTAGGTATCGGCTTTTCTAAATATTCCCAAATCTCCCTTTGGCTGGTTTTTGCATCACAATTTTAAAATATTTTTCCTCTTCATGGTAATGCATAATTCAACTCAGTTTTTCCAGAGTGGGACAGCCAGTTTTGAGGCTTGAAACAAACAAACAAACAAACAAAACAAAAACAGCGGGGAGGGATTCAGAGGAGGTAACAGGAACACACAGTAAAGCACAGTTGGCTTGCTGCCTTCTCTCGCTTATTTAAAAAAAAAAAATCCAATAAGTAAGTGACTGTTTATGAACTTGCATGACTGTACAGCAAAACACAAAATAGTGAATCCTCCAAATACCATTTCAGGATATATTTATTCTGTATTTCTTATATATATATTACATATATATAATGCATATTATTCTATTTCTTTCCAGGCCTGCTAATACAGAAACAAGTGAGATGCCAAAACATAAGCAGCAGAAGGGCAAGGAAAAAAAAAAAGCAGTCCTGGTTATCAGCAAGGAAGCCAAAAAGGGACCACGTTACTCATCCACTCATCCCAGGGAACTCCTGGTGAAATGGTTTAAGCCTAAAGGGTATAGGAAAGAGGGAAGCCTTGAATTTAGCTTCCTGAAGACTGTCTTAAAGCCTCTTTATCTTCTCTAGATAAGATGAGATCCAATCACAAGACAGCATTACTAATACTTTGTCCTCATGGTGTTTCACGGACATAAGTGAAAAATTATCTCCCTAATGACATGTGGACTCTAAAGAAAAAATAAAAATAACATTCACAAAGGAGGAACATAAAGAAGCCAGTGCCGTGAACAAATCTATTAATGCCACAAGAGAAAAGCCCAAAGTGACCCTCTAGATCTCCAAGGTGAGGGCCACTTGTGAGATATTGTACATGATAGCAAGATTAATAATATTCATGTGGGGACTTAGGAATGTGATGACATAATGGTGCAACTCCAGAATTCTAAAAGTTCATTGTCTATGCATTTCCCAGAAAAAAATCCTCAAAACTTTCCTTTTAAAAGACAAGTTAAAGATGTGCTATAGGGTATACGTTATGTATGAGGAAAAATTCAATTTTATTCTATCATCTCGAATGCTCACTAAAAAATTTTAAAGGTCACATGTTTATTTTGATTTTGTGTCAGACATCACAACCTAAAACATAAGAATTATAGCTTAAAACAAGTAGATACTTTAAAGGAAGCCAACTCTCCTGGATCTTTCTATATTATCATCCTTAAGTCATCCTCAAATAAAACACAGCCTAAGACAGAACATATGAATGAAATCAGAGTTGTGTTTCCTTATTCAGAAGGAGTTTTTTAAAAAAACTAGTGTTACATAGAAAAGTAGATCAATTCAGTAGATCAATATTGTTGACCTTAAAATTAAAAGATGTGCAATTAATCTTCTCTACCAAATACCCTACCTGAGACCATCAACAGTAAACTCATTCAATTTGGGTTCATTTAAAAAGCACCTTCTTTTTGTTTCCTTTTCTTTTTTTTTTTTTTTTTAAGAGAGGGAAAGGCGGAGGGGGAGAGGGAGAGAAATAAGCAGGTCCACACCCAGCACAGAACCCGATGTGGGGCTCGATCTCACAACCCTGAGATCATGACCTGAGCCCAAATCAAGAGTCGGATGCTTAACCGACCGAGCCACCCAGGCTCCCCAGAAAGCAATTTCTGTCTAGTTTATTAAGATCTATCTATGGGCAGTGAATACTAAAGAATTCGTGGAGCTTGTAACTGAAGACATGTCTGTATGTAACAACCAGGAACAGTGAGTGATAAAACCAAAGATGAGCAAGTGGATAAAAACACACACAATAGGTTGCACACTGAAGAAACATGGTCTCATCGGCCTTGAGACTTACTCTTAAGGGGTGAACCTTGAGCCACATTTCAAGAAGTGATGGCCGTGGATGGGCACACGGATGTCCCACATGATGGGACATGAATGGGACAGGGATGTTCATCACACCTGCTTGGCAGACTGAAGCTCTTCTGTGTTCTCATCACATCTCACCTGGTCATGAAGCCCTAGGCATGTCCCCTCTCAAATTAGCAACAAAAGGACACTCCATCCTCAACAGTCAGACCACTTGATTATTAAAGACTTTATACATACCAGAGAGGATCGGCTCCAGGTGGGCTGGCGTCTGATGGGGGGTGGAGAATTTGATTGTCTGCGTGAAAAGTTAAAAAAAAAAATGAGAACGGTCATTGTATTTATAAGACGTAAGACAACCAGAAAGACAAGAGAGGGTAAAAAAGACAAGATGGGTAAGTAATTTACAGCAAAATGTAAACATTTATTTCTGAGTGATGAGGCTATGAAAAATTTTAATTTCCTTTTTTATTATTTTCTTTATTTTCAAAATGTTTGGAGCATATGACCCTTAGATAGTATGTTTTACAGAAGAATAAGGCTTATTTCCAAAGAAAGATTATGAGAGAAATAAGCAAGACTGAAAAATATCACTATTATTACATGGATTTTTAAAAATTGTATTCTTTGTATCTTTGTGAATGTCTAAAATCTTTCATCATGAAAAACAGCAAGTAGAAACAATATTTTTTAAAATGCTGCCAGTCAAATGAAATCCAAAATAGATTAAATATGTTTGAGTAAGACCATATAAAGGTCTTTTTGAATTAAGACAATACCGACTACAAATATTTATCTAATCAGATCCTTTCCTGACTGAGAATGAACGTGAATTTTTTTTTTTAATGTAGAGATAAAAATGTGTGGGGACTAAGAGTATTATCAAATTCTGGAGCACTGAAATCAAAGGTGCCTTTGAGAAATGGTCCCAAATTCCAGAGCAACACTTTCCCTAGTCCTCAGTGAAATCATAAAAAGACAAAAACAAAAACACAAAAAAAGGACATGTAGAGTTTTCCATAAAGCTAGAATTCTTCAATTTAAAGCACTCTTCTTAGTCTGGTAGTTCATCTTTCCTACCCTTTTACATCTTTTCTTTTATGAAGTGATGGAAACAGTATAGTAATGTTGGATGTTTTTTAACAACTGGCTAAATACAATATTATAAGACCTAGATTATAGGTTTTATAATACTATTATAAGACCTGCAATTTTTCTTCTCAAGTCAAGAAATATGGGAACCACTCCCTGGAGCTATATGGGAAGATGACAAGCAGTAGCTCTGTGAGCAAAAAATAAAAATAAAAATCAGTGACAGTCTTAGAGGTCAGGGTGTGGAGCTCTAGAGGAGGATGCTGTTAAGATGATGCTAGATTCATAAAACTCCAGGGGGCTATCCTAGGCCTTAATGCAGTCTGCACTGAGATTCAGAATTTATTGTGTATATGGGGTATGTGTGTATAAATATTAGAGAGTTCCGGTTCTTATCAGAGAAGAGGTTAGGAACCTCTCACACCTGGTTAGGAACAGAAGAAGAAGTTATTACAGAAGTAGAAAAGAAAACACAATTTCCTTTAGTTTTCACTCTGACATAGGCTGTTCACTAATATTAGAAGACCACAAGATAAAAATACGCTGAAAATTTCATGATAAATCCACTTGCTGAGAAATGGTCAAACCAGAAGACCACAGTAAAATTCACTTCTCAGAACAATTTTAATTCCCCCTCCAGAAGTCAACCATGGAAATCCTGTTCATGCCCAAGACACCCCCACAAATACAAGCCAACGGCAGAGCAGACCCGCACAGAAGCGATCTACAGGGAACCGGTTCAAAAGAAGGGCACGTGTGCGCGTGTGCGTGCGTGTGCGTGCGTGTGCGCATGCGCGCACGGCCCTCGTTACGGCTGTTTCACTTGCCCCTCCCCGGTCACTGCCCCTCTGAATTTACATTTGCAAACTTTGCTGGCAGCCCTGCTAACTATGGCCTCGCCTTTCAGACTCCGACAGTGACCAGTTGCAATGACTGGCTTGAAAGAGCCTCCATCGTGTAGAGAAGAAAGTCTGTCAGGACGTGAGGCTCCCGTTCTAAAGCAGCCGCTATTTTCAGCAGGAACTGCTCTGGGACAATGCTCTCACGCTCTTGGATGTGTCCACTGGGGGAACGCAAAAGCAGTTCCTCTCTTGCATTTATATCCCCGAATTCTTTGAAACACAATTAAGCACCTTGGGCGCGCCAACTGCCGAATGTTCTCTGCTGAGGACCGTCTTTTGAAGGCAACCAAAATAAAGGCAATGATAGCGTGAGGCCCAGCGACGCCACATCCAAGGTCAGGTCACATTTAAGTTCCCGTATCAGACTCCCTTTATCGTCTTTATTTCCAAATTAGATTTAAAAAACACACATGGACTCGTGACATCTATTAGTGTCTTCCAAGGCTTCCTGTAATTACCCTGGCCTCTCATTTACAGGCAGATGACATGACCCAGAGGCACACGCAGGGTTAGCCAACTGTGTAAGAGAAACAGGGCTGAGGATGACAGAGGCTTCTTTTCTTTCAAGTTGGCTTGCCACTCTGTTCCACACTTCTGAACGTACTCTGCATCTGACACGAAGGGGCACCCTGGCAAATTGGGAACGGCTCGGCTCCTCCAAACTCCTAGCAGAGGACGGAAAGGCACTAATGCGGGCCAACCCATCCAGGTAGTCAAGCACTCACAGTCAATTTGTGAATTATTTTCTCTCCAGGCATATGCACTACGCCAGACATTTCATCATTAAAGTTCTTTCACTCCTGCCTGGATTCAGCTTATTCCTTTAGCTTCCGCGAGGAAGGAGGGAAGAGGGCGAATGGAAAATGCAATCTAAGCGATCCACGACATCCCTAAAGCACATGAATTGAACGGGAGCAAGCCGCTGGGTGAGGGGGGTAGACTACATGGTTACTTACTCAGTGCAGATTTTGTTTTGTTTGTAAAACTTGTGCCGTGTAGCAAACAACCGAGAAATGTACTTGGCATTTTCAATATCGTCCTTGGAAAAGGAGAGGGGGGGGAAAAAATAAACATTGGTTTGGTTGTAGATGCATTTCCCTAGGATTCTCCTGAACGGGACCACATCCCTTCCTCCCAACAGGCCAAGCACAAAACAGCACCCTGAGCTGCAAACCCACGTGCTGAAACCCTACAGCCAGCGTGGCTAGGAAGCCCACCCAAGGATGCAGACAATCCGTCAGTTAAAGAATCCTCTAGGCTCAAGGCACAGGGCTTACACTGATGAGCCGGCATGTCTTCACACAGTTCCAAACCAACTGCTTTAAAAAGAAAGAAAGGAACGAAGACAGAGCCTGGAATGAACACTGAGCACCACTGAGATGGCAGTGAGGTGCATGAACAGCCTTGGCCCTCAAGGGGGCGCTCAACAGAAGGGCGAGCCCTCCCTTTTCTTCAGGCCAGGCTTGGGCTGTGGTGGGGAAGGAAATCCAGGTCAGCCGGCTAAAGAAAATGCCAGGCAATATCATCGAGGGGTTACTGGATGCGGGCTGTAACTTGAGCGCTGAGGAACGCGGCACGCCAGACATGTGATCCACCACAAACACAGCAGGTGGAGGAACCCAAATCGCAGAGTCCAAACTCAGCTTGGAAACCTGGCATTTTCAACAGGAAATTGCCACCACTATCTGGAAATGAGTGATGATGGCACTGGGCAAGGGCTGGGCAGTTATTAGTTCAAGAGAATACTTACTCTGTCATGATATGGAGAGCAAGGAAAGGATATTGTGAGGTGAGAAATCAAACAGCCACCTGCCTGTCGGACCCTGCCCCTGTCTTTCATTTTGCTTACCGTGTGAAAGAGGGCAGTCTCTTCTTTGTTGATGAGCTCCACCAGAATAGTAGACTTGTTGTGAGCGATATTCCCGATATCATTCCACCTGGTCAAAAGATAAGGCAACTGGGTTTGCCAACGATGTCCCATGCAGTTATGAATCAGCGTAGGAGGGTCGTCTTTTACTGGTGAGTCTCATTTGACAAATTATGATTTAACTATAGTTTTGAAAGCTAAATAGTCCTTCTCTCCAAGCAAAAAAGTAAAACACAACATGCGTCAACTTAAATACCTAAAAATCCTGTAAAACCCACATCTAGATACTGCTGTTCATAAGGTACTGTTTCCTTTAGGATTAGCGATGAGGAAAATGTTCAAGGATCCTCTGCTTGTTTTTCACATTTCCAAACTGCAAAGCATTTCCCATGATCCCTGCTTTTAATGATGGAGGGGAGCATATTATTTTAAAGTCATGTGTTTCCAGGAATCTAGGCCAAAGAATCCACACAGATTCTGTGTTGCAGTGTATGCCATGGACGGATGATGCCACCAAGAAAAAGTGCCCAAGGAATGTTTAATGTGCCTACATTTTTGTGATTGATCACACACACACACGTTTCCTTCTTTCCTCATGAAGACCTTAGCTAAAATGAGACACATGAAATAACTACCAGACAAGGGAAGGTAAGCTACTATTTCCCGTCCTACTTGGAGCCAGTCTTTAACCATCTCTTACTCCTGCCTACCTTCACTCTGTGCCCCAGTCTATCATTCCCTGCCCACTGCCTCTTCATGCCAACATTACACTTCCCTATCCTCCTCCTTTAAGACTCAGCTCAGAAGTCGCCTTCTCTCTCTTCCTCATCCCCAACCACCCACATGGCATGAAAGAATCTGGTGTAGTCCTCTCTGGGGCCCCGCATGGTATGACAATTGTTTACTTCTGTGACCAGATCCCTAACTAAGGCAGAGGAGACCACAGGCCCCATGCCTAGAGATTCTGCTTTCTTCGTCTCTGTCCTCCATACACTGAGCCAAGTAAGTACCTGGCATGCAGCATTCAATAAATGTTTGCTGAAAGAATTAAGAGTCATAATATTGCCTCCCATCTGTAGAGAGTATGGTTTCTTTATGAACTCTCTAAGGTAGACGAGGCAGCTATTTTTGTTCCTACTTTAGAGAGGAGACAATTTCAGCACAAATGAGGACAGGACTTAGCCACGTTCACTCTGCACATCGGGGATGCAGGAGTTCTATACTTGGGGCTTCCAGGCTTTCCTCCAGTCACCCTTCCATTACTCCAGTACCAACTGTGTTCACAGACATCTGCTGGGGCCGTACTCTCTACAGGTGTTCAGCACAGCTGTCTGCTGACTTACACTTCCATCAGATTACATCTACACGGACTCATAGCCACATATTCCTCAGCGAAGGTCTCTAGAGATAAGAGATATTTGGTTTCCTCAGGCTCCATTCCTTCAAATCAACTGCCAAAACTCTGAATCCACTCCTCACTCCACAACGCGACTCCACCTAGGGACATTCTTACCATGACAGTATGGTAGAAGTAAATTCCCATCCTGTAGGGGTTTCAAGATAAGTGCTGAAGAGGTCTGGAAGCAGTTCCTAAGGAACTGAACCAAACCATGAGTGGCTAATCATCAGCAAAGTTTCAAATGGCTATTTTCTTCTATTTAACCTCCATAGCTGGAATGCAAGACTTGTCTACTTTTCCAACCTCAAGGAGAAAATGAAGCATTGATTTAGCTATGGAGAACTGTGTGGGACAAAATGCCTGGACAGCTTTAAGTGGGCATAAAAAGGTCTAGTTACAACTCCGCACAATTTATGTGTTTTATTTGATTACTTTATAATTTGTTGTAGGTATACGGAGTTGAAGGAGTATGTCCAAAAGTAAAAAAGTTTATTCTGCAGCCACAAAGATCTCTCTCCCCACTCCTTTAATAATGTCTCCATTTAAGAGTAAGAGAAAAATCAGTGGACAAAAATAATGGCAGGGTGGAGACCTAGCAGGGAAAGGAGCCAATTAGGAAGCTTTTGGTGGGGAAACATTTGCAAAATGACCTGCATCAACTGCTGATCCAGAGAGTACACAGCTGGGCAAGATCCACGTCCAGAAGGTGGACTTGGCTTTGGCTTTAAGAGCTGTCTTTGATTATCTGCACTAGGTGCACAGCTCTGCCTAACAGATGCACATGCAGGAAAGCTGTTCTTGTAATAAAGAGTCGGCCATACTGCCCTTATAAATGAAAGAAAGCATGCAGTTTTTGAGATCGTGGACACCATGGTGACAACTATGGGCACCAACACAAGCAAGCTCATTGACATGTAATGGAGGAGACACTCTGCCAAATCCCTGTACTGGTTCTCTCTCATGTTCAGTGGAGAAGAGGATTTAAAATGCAAAATAATGCCCATCACCCAATTATCCCTTCCCCTAAATAAATAAATGAATGAATGAAAAAAATAAAATGCAAAATAAAAGTACCAGCCCTTTAATTTGTGATAACAAATTCACTGCTTTTAAAACGCATTTTCACAAATATAAAATGTCATATATTTAATATAGAAATCAGTCCACACTCCTCTAGCATGTGCGGTTAGGCAGAGGGTGATGGAAAATGGGAAGAAGCCAGTCTGGATTTAATGGCTGGTCATGGATAACGTGGGCAAAGGCAACCAGCGGGACTGACTGGACAACCAGCTTCCAAGCAGACTCACAGAGTTTAGCGCCACTCTTCTGGCTCAGGAGGGTTCAAGTAGCACCTTTCCTGCAGTCAAGTGGGAAGGAAGAGCTTCCTCTATCCTTCACCCCCAAAACAGGCCTCCAGGAAAAGTGAGATGCATTTCTCCCTAACTGCTCAAATCTCACAGAGGGCTGATCTTATCTGAGTTGAGAAAAGCTCAACTCTGACCCACAGTCTGGCTCTTAACTCATTGGGATCACTGTCATCCTCAGTGAGCTTTTCTAGAATCCCTCAGGGGAAAAAGGAAAAAGAGACAAATAAGACTACCTGTGTATTACTGCTTGTCTTCCAATTCTGTTTCTCACGAATATCCCCATAAAGAAAATGCCCAGGTGCACACTGTTTCCATGATTGTCCTGCATAAGATCAACAGAAGAGCGATGTGACCAAACAGATGACCAGCGGACCGGCAAGAGCCAAGCACCCGGGCTACAGCCTACCCGGTGGCGGGGGGGGGACACTCCATTTCCTGCCCATGGACGAATGAACCACAGATAGCATCAGGGCAATGGGCAACTCGGCCCTGAAGGGACTCACCCCACTGCACACCCCAGCGGACTATATACATAGATACATATTGTTTTCTTTTATCCCAATTTCACATTTCGTGTCCAAGAGAGAATTTGAGGATTTTCTCAGATTTGTTATGATTTTCTCTTTCAGGAACATCAATGAATATTTTTTTCACTCTGGTTTTTTTAAATCAAAATTGTACATGTCCGTAGTTTATGTATGCATGTCATAAGCGTGTGATCATATGTGCCCACAGTTTGCAGGACTGAGTGTATCCTTTGGAGCCTGTTTAAAAGAGGCCAACAGCAGACCTGGCCCCACCATTTCCTCTCCCCAGAGGCACCGACTTCCACTACTTAATGCCCTTGTGAGTGTCTATTTGCATCCACTGTGCTTGGTCTTTCGATTTACAACCTCATGGTCCTCAGTCCTGGGATCCTTTCTCAAACTGCCACTGTTCACTTCTGGAACTCCCATTATTCAGATGTTGGACATCCTGGGCTGGCCTTCTAATCTTATCTCCCACCTCCCACATTCCTCCGTAACTTCGTCTTTTGGTGAGATTTTCTTAAATTTATCTTGTAACCTATTACTTTTTCTATTTTTGATATCATATTTTTAATTTCTGAGAGTTTTCTCTTTTTTCTTCTCTGAATGTTCCTTTTTTGTAAAGATTTTATTTATTTATTTGACAGAGAGAGAGCACAAGCGGGGGGGGGAGGGGCAGAGGGAAAGGGAGAAGCAGGCTCCCCGCTGAGTAGGGAGCCCAATGCAGGGCTTAATCCCAGGCCCTGGGATCATGACCTGAGCTAAAGGCAGATGCTTAACCGGCTGAGCCACCCAGGCACCCCTGAGTGTTCCTTTTTAAAAGCAATCTATTCCTTTAAGGAGGTAACATATTTTTATCTTGGAGACTCTGAGGACAGTATTTCAGGCAGGGGGTTCTTCACCCTATAGAGTCTCTGCATCTTCCAGGCTGCTTCACTCCCTTTGCATTGGCCTCTGTCATTCCCGGGAGGACAGCGTGCAGGGTGATGCTTGGCCCTCTATTCACGTTCCAGCCTGGGATGCTAAGCACTGGCTGGGAGCTTCATGAGCACAGGAGGGGCGTGAGGACAGCAGAGCTGGGGGGCAGTCTGCTGGGCCCTGTGCTGAGGAAGTCCAGATGACTCCTCTTCAGTCTGGTTTCCTGGTCCAGTAAGGTGCTTCCAACCTCTTGCCTGGGAGAGCATAACCTGCTGCCCGTGTGCCCGAGAGTGGAGTGGGGACAAGGCTCACCATCCAGGGAGTTAAGTGTCCCTCAGCCCCCTGCTTTTACTGGGGACATCCTCTTTGTGGAGTGAGCAGAGGGGCACGCACAAGATGGAAAAGGATCTCTATATTCCTCAAAACACTTGATCCCATGCAAGACACAATGACGACAGTGTCCCTTCGCAGGGACCTCTTCTCAACCCACCCAGCAAAGCACACATTAGGACAGGGCTCATCGAATAGGAACACACAGAGAGCCAGACCACTGCTGGAGGCAAAGCAGAGAGAGGGTCAGGAGAGGAAGCCGTGGGAAGGAAAAGAAGTGCTCTGGAAATCAGGAGATGTTACCAGGTAAATCATACTGTAGAAAAATATATGTGGGGAAAGAAGCCAGGCAAAGTAGACATGGGAAAGGGAGAGAAAATTCTGTGGAAATCCTTCCCGGGGCATTTTGCCGTTAGATGGATGGGTGCAGCAGTCCGCTGGTGATGGGGCCGCGGGAGGAGCAGTTCCCCAGGGCCGGGCAATGGCAACAACACAGGACAGATGCCCGGGCACTGCGCTGGTCAGAACTTAAAGGCTCAGTGTCCAACTCAGCTAAGGTTGGAGACTCCAGATACTAGCAGCCTCTCCGTGTCCATGCGCTCTGACAACATGGGAGTGACTGGTCGGGGGGTGGGCAGGCCTGTCAGGGAGTGGACTGGTCCTCCTCCCACCTTGAAAAAATTTGAAGAACCACTCATGGAAAAGCCCACACTACGTGGAAATGTTCTTCCTTACAACGTATCCACAACAAGCTCGTTTGCTTTACTTGGTCAAGAAGGACCCGTACTAATCCAAAGGGACTCCATCACTCCTCAGTCTGCCCCTGAACCCTCTCCTGTCTGCGTTAGCACGATCTCAGAGCTGACCACAGCACTGCCCCAGCTGGTACTGCTGCCCTCCCATCCTCCTCGGGTCTCTGGGAATCAAGTGGTCTGGAGGTGGTCACCTGAGTCATGAACAGATATGTGGGCAAAAAGACACCACCCAGCTAAGTCACACTCCCTGGCAGTGAGTCAGCTGCACCTGTCCACCCACTCAGACCAAGGTACTGTATCCCCCTTGTGCTCTTTCCACTAAAGAACATACCAGAAAGTGCATCAGAAACAAGCGCAGTGGATTTTGACACTATTTCCACTGCCCTGATTTCCCACAGCCCAGAACTCCTAAAAACAGCACAAGTAAATGAGCATGACAACTAAACCCCCAACTTCCTGGGACGGAGAAGTGGGTTTTCTGGAAGGGAAGAAAACTTTACCCTGATTTTTCAATGACCCAAAATATCATGACTATATATGGGCTGCTGAAATGTAAGTGGGATGCAGATGGCTTCATAAGGCATTATTGCAAGGAAAATGGATTACAGCCCTACGAAGGGCAGCCATTAGAGAAGCAAAAGAAAATTAAACAAATCTAAAAAAGAGCCATTTAGCCCTTTCAGCAAGCTTCGGTCACCCTGCTCGTTCTACTTGATGCACATGGGCAGTTCTCATCAAGGCAAATTGCAAACGTGCAGCCGAGGGGGAACGGAACACTTATAAAACAGCCAGCGAAGCCACTTCAGAGTGAAATGTTTGTGCTAAAATTGTACCATCTCCCAAATCGCTGAAATGTGCCAGTTGCTCTAGGTTTCTGATAAAACTCCGTCTTTTGTAAAGTTGGTCAGGAGAGAGAAGAAAATGAGTTTGGATTATGGGCTCAGCTCTATAAATGCACCATGCACCATGTACCACGACCGCCACCCCCAACCACACCCACTTCAGGAGGTGGATCTGTTGCAAAAGATGTGCTGTGCTGTAACAGTTTCCTAGGCACAGTTTCCAGAAAACTCCGAAGGGGCTGGAAATCTGCAATGCAGGCTCTATGGAGCTCGAGAAATAAAGTGTGATTGTATACAGGAAATGTTCCACGCTGCCTCACAAGCAATTATCCCCGTAACAGCTCAAAGGACAGAAAAGAGAATAAGCAGGTAAAACCAGTGGTCAGGGTCTTTATATTAATGCACACATGACATTAGCTGCTTGTCTTGTTGCAAAACTGCAGGTGACTGGATACCTTCATGGTGCTGGATGGGCTGGTATTTGGGGCTCACTCAGATGGTTGTCTTACCAACAAGATATTCTGCCTAAGACCATGGAAAACTTTCAGAATCTCTCAGTTAAGAAAAAGGGTTTGTGGGACGCCTGGGTGTCTCAGTTGGTTAAGCGACTGCCTTCGGCTCAGGTCATGATCCCAGGGTCCTGGGATTGAGGACAGTGGAGATTAGGCTCCGCATCAGGCTCCTTGCTCAGCAGGGAGTCTGCTTCTCCCTCTGCCTGCCACTCCCCCTGCTTGTGCTCTGACAAATAAGTAAATAAAATCTTAAAAAAAAAGAAAAGAAAAACTGTTGGCTTCCTGAAGTAAACTGGACTTGCCAACTAATGCCACATAGCGATAAGAAAGCCAGGTCGTTCGGGCCCGCTGCCTATCACCACTGGCTTTCTGATTGCCTGAGCCATTGTGAGAAAGCTGAAGAACGGGCCAGGGTCTGCTACCTTCACAGAGAAGATCTCCTGTCCAAATCCATCCAAACGTTCCACTTCGTTGATGTACATGAGCTCAGCTTCTGCTGGCAGGATTCCACTAAAATCACAACAGCATCAAAGAAGGAAATGGTTAAGGGCAACAAAGGTAGTGGAAGGTCCTACCCTCCTGATGGCAAATTCCAGAGCTGTGGTTTAGCTCTAGTTCTGGGAAGAGCAATCATCACCCAACTGTGAGGACATGGTGCATTAGTAAGTAATTCATTAACATATTCCCCACTGGCCTTTACTCAATGGGGAATAATCAGAGGAAAGTAAAGTGTTTAATTAAGAGCCACAGCCCTATAAGCACTAATTATTCCAGACATCCCTGTGAATAATGCTGCCTGCTTTAAAAAAAAAAAAAAAAGTTATTTTTCTCCCACCTGGGGGAAAAAATCTCCATTGTTAAGAGAGAAAAAAAAGGGGGGAGAGGAAAAAGTTTATGAGGGTGCTATTTTGGGCCACATATTGTGGCCGAGAGAGCCTGGGACCACTGCATAGGTCCTCTGAGGTCTGAAGGAAGGTGGTTTGTTCTCCATTGGTCCCAGAATTCTGCACAGCCCTGATAGCAAGCTCTCAGTGCCCCCCTGAGTCTTGATCCTCTCCCTCTTGACCTTGACTTGACCACCCAAAGCCCCTCGTCAGGTCTGCACGCTCAGCTCAAGCAGCCCCAGGCTCCCCAGCTCTGGCAACAGAGCTTTAAAAGGAACGTCAGAGAGACGAATTCTCCACGTCTGCATGGGCTTGCTGGTGGTAAAGCAGAAAAGGAAAAAAGGAAGGGAGAGGAAATAAAAAGAGAACAGCAGAAAGGGGCGGGTGGGCAAGCAGCAGAATTTTCAGATCTACCCGCGGGATAGAAGACACACAGGCAGTTGACTCAGCCAGGGGCTGGGACTGGGAGCCAGCGTCTCAGCCGGCCTTACCTGTGGGCTTTATGTTCCTGGGCCACCTTCTGTGTCAGCTCCTCCAGAATGGCCTCTTCCAGGGCCAAATCCTATCCACACAGAAGCAGTTAGGGCCATTTACTGTTTTGCTTGTAAACCTTAAGAGCTCTCTTTTCCAGAAGACGTTCCTGAGTAGCCTCCCTTCATCGATCTCCCCTATACTCCTTCATATCAAAGGCTGTCCATTGTAGGACTGAGGGTCCACTGTTACTTCCATAACATGGCACTCCACGATAACTTAGGCTCTCGGCTTATAACTAACATGCTCATTTCAAGGCATAGTTTGGGTCGCTGCCTACATTCTGCAGGGTCTGGGAACAGCAACTTTTTTCATTCACCTTCTTCCCCATCTGCCTTTCAGACTCACTTTTAATTGAAATTGCTTGTCAATACTTACGTGGCTTTTTTTTTTTTAAGATTTATTTTATTTGAGAGAGAGAGGGAGAGAGCACAAGCTGGGGGAGGGGCAGAGGGAGAGAGAGAATCTCAAGCAGACTCCCCGCTGAGCGTGGAGCCCAACATGGGGCTCGATCCCAGGACCCCGAGATCATGACCTGAACTGAAATCAAGAGTCAGACTCTCAATCAACTAAGCCGCCCAGGCGCCCCGTACTTCCATGTTTTTAACAATCAGGGTACAGGCAAATGAATTTCCAGCCCATTATCCTTTCAAAAGCTGAGCCTAGAAAGGGACTGTGCCTGGCCTTTTTTGTCCACCACCGTAATATGAACTAATTCAGAGCTACCTGAAGGCAGAGAAGGCTCATTCAGATGTTACTTGACAGAGCCTTGGGAGCATAAGAGGCCATGCTGGCTAAAACGAGGGATTTCTATAAGGTCACAGTGTGTAACTGACCAGCTGGTGTCTCAACCACCTGGATCCCAGGCCCCTGGGACCACTGGTGTGCTGGCTCCCAAGAGATGAGAGCCAACTGCACACACCTCTTCCCAACACCCCTTCAATGACAGTGGGAGTGTATCAGGGATTGTTAAACATTTGTGACAAATGCTGACAACACTGTCTAGGATGGAGAAATGATCTGAAAGAATAAATCCAAGACAGGGAGGCCAGAGAAACCAGCTCCTGAGAGCCTGACAGACCTGGTGATTCCAGAGCTCCTCGCATCTCTGGTGGTAGCCTGGGGAAGCTCAAGCCAAGGACCAGCTGCCTTAGACCCTCCCAGCTTTCACGCCCCCCGCCCCAGGCTGCTAAGCACGGAGGAGAACATAGATATGCACCATTTCTCTCGGAGCTCCAGAGGGGGTGTCAGAAGGGGCTCTGAGCTGTGTGTCCCCGTGAGGCCCTCTGAGGCTCATCGTAGACATTGGGGGTGGGGATCTGGGGCGCTGAAGTTTGCCAGAAAACATCCCAAATGCTGCACTGCCTTGATTCTAAAATACCATTTATATAGAGATGACTTCCAATTTAACAATTTTCCAGGGATGAAACACTACCCCCAAAAAGGTACCTACCTCAAAACTGCAAGAGACGTCCCATCTCAAAATCATGAAAACATGAAAAGTCAGTATCTTTTAAAGCTGGAAAATGAGGGTGTGACTACATGCTGGAAATTCTACAGCCCTGCAGATGGTCATGAGAAACCTCAGAGAAGGTGGAGGGAATTCCTGGCAGCTCTTATTTTTCATGCATTAACTGATTAATTTGCTGTTTCCTGTTCAGCCATCCACTGAAATGACTCAAGTCCATGGTAGGAAATAGGCTCAGTTCTACGTTGTGGAACAACAAAGATACTGCATGGTTCAGAAATGGCTTAGAAACGGAGTTACGTGCGTGCATCTAGCTACGGAGTGGTGGTTAACAGCCTGCTACTAATTTTGAAAAGCTCATGAAAGGCATGTGGCCACAGAATAAAATGCAGACAGGGAAGTGAAGATCAAAAAGTGCTCCATTAAACCTCAGCTTCCTACTTTCAAAGAAGAAAAAGTCCAAAGGTGCCTCTGTGCTGTTGTGCTCCATTCTGCGTCTGGGGCCTCCCTGAGGTACGCGTCCCTGCCGCAGAGAATGCGCGAGCGGCCCCGCGGGAATGAAGACTGGCAGAGTGCGTGTCTGTACCCAGCCGCACACCTGTGGCGTGCCCCGTGTTCTTAACTTTGTTCTTTTCTCTGCTGCAGAAATGCCATTTGACAAACTCGGCTGCTTTATAAGATCAAACAAGGCCATTCATCCCATCTTCCCTCCCCCACCAAAGGAATGCATTCCTCTCTCTGAAAGCTCTAGTGGAACCAAGCAGAAAGTTTACAACCTTCCATGGCTCCCCACTGCCTGCTCAATTAGGTCAACACCTGGGCCTGGCATTCAGACCATTCTTCGGGGTGACCCAGCCTTCCCTTCCAGACCTCCCCTCTCAAGGGTTCAAGGCTTCAGGCAAACTCCTCTTGCTAACAGAATGCGTGTATGTCTCCTGACATACTCATGCCAACCCTTCTCGGAAAAATGCTCCCCCCCCAACCCCGGGGGCCCATCACATGGAGCGAAATGTCACCCCGTCCTTCAGGTCCCATCCCAGCTCCTGTTCCCTTGATAAGGCTTCCCTATTCCCCCAAGCTGGATGGAAGCCTGTGCACTTCTGCTCTGGGTATGGCTCCTACAGTCTGCCTACGGTCTCCCTTACACAGTTATCTGGATGCTCATCCCACCCTGTATCCTTGTCACCCTCCCTCTACTACATTATAGGCACCTAAGGGCAGCAGCTCATCTCCACATCACCGCTGGGCCCACCCCAGGGCTCTTACACCATGCCAACGTATACGCTCTCCATACACAGGAAGTGATCCAGAAACGATCAGTGAACTGAACTCCATAAGCAACGTGTAAGTTTCACACGATCAAACTGGAGTTTCCAATCATGCACAGCTGGTTACTGATAGTTTGTACCTTCTGCCTGTCCTCTGCTTACATTTCAAAATGCACGCAGTACTGCTGCCTGAAAAGCATGGTTTTGGGCATCCTTGGGCTTGCACAACAGAGAGGGGACAGTCATGCTAATAATAAGATGACGGTGATGGCAGGGACCAGGACAACTAATAAACACTTACTGAGAATTTACTATGTGCCCAGTTACATCACATGCACCCTCTCCTTTCGCCCCCACAATTGGAGTAGGCTTGCTATCCCCATTTTTAGATGAAAAAATGGACACTTTGGTTAAATAATTAATTAAATTTTAAAATAAATGGAATTAAATAATGGTCCGAGTTCACACAGCTGTTAAGTGGCACCACCAGGACATGGGCACAGAATGCTTGGCTCCTGGAGCCTGGCCACCTGACCTCAGGCCCCAGGGTATCCAGGCTGCGACATGGGGTGGAACGACACGGCAGAAGCCTAGGGACATTCACGGTTCAGATATATACGCTGACATTAGTGCCATCCAAAGGACTTTCTGCAACGATGGAAGCCACACGTGGCTACTGAGCACTTTTTAAATGTAGCTAATGCAACTGAAGAACTGAATTTTTAATTTTAACTTTAATTAACTTAAATTTGAATATAAATAGCCACCTGTCAATGTAAGTAGCTACTGTCCCAAAGAGGGAAGTTTTATTTTTATTTTTTAAGACTTATTTGAGAGGTAGAGAGAGAGCAAGAAAGTGGGGAGAGGGGCAGAGGGAGAGACTCCTCAAGCAGACTCCCCATTGAGTGGGGCTTGATTCCAAGACCCCAAGATCGTGACCTGAACCGAAATCAAGAGTTGGCCGCCCAACCGACTGAGCCACCCAGGTGCCCCCCAAAGAGGAAAGTTTTACATCCAAGAATAACACATCCACATTTGTCTGTCCACAGTGAGATTTAACAAGGTCTATGCCATTCAAGCATCTGATTTGCTCAGAGCCCGGAGGATACACAGTCTTATTCTGAAAAAGGTATGACATACAAAATAACTCTTTCCAGGCTTCACAGATAGCATTTGGACCTGTCAAAGCATTTTAACATCTACATAAAAACATTTTTACCCATAAAAATTGTAAATGGCACCCAAGCCTGGACTCTGTCTAAAGGCTATGTGATTAAGACCTTCAAGGAGAGAAAGGGGGGGGGGGAAGGGGAAAATTATCAACCCAATTCATTGCCTCCACTGACACAAAAATGCACTTTCTAAAATTCTAAGGTATGAGCTTCACTTTCCTCCCACCAAGTACACCGGGAAACCTCCCAATGCTTGAGGTGAGCCTCCGAGACCATCTGATTCAAGCCTGTTGGCACCAAATCCTATGAAGAACTTCTCTGCTAAATAATATGCTAATCTCTTTGAATGCAGGTTGATTTGCTGGGTAGAATTAACAAGGCATGAAAACAACAGGCCAATCAGATAATACTGCTGTTTTCTTGGAGGGAAGCAGAACAAGGATAGAGTTACTCATGAAAAACATAGAGATCTTACGGTATTTCCCTAACCAATAAGAATGAGGTAAGTCTGCAGCCATTTAAGTTCATCGCACACACTGACAGGGAATAACAAACTGCGGCTTTACTTATCCTAGGCTTTCACAACTTGAACTTTTGTCACCACTGGCCGACTGGATGCCAAGTTCTGCCCATATTATTTCCAAAATATCTCTTGCATTGCGGTCTTGTTTTTACTGTCTCTCATAACACCTAAATTATCTCCTTGCCAAGAGCATCATTCAGATTCTCATCTGACCTGCTTTCCTGAATGGTCTTATTGCTCTAATCCAGTGGTCCTCCAAGTGTGGGGTCTGCAAATCCACCGACAGAGCCCAGGTGTTCTCAGTCTTGAGATGTTTCATCTTATCTGTTGCCACCCCTCTGCCACTCCTGAGCAAAGTCAGACTCACCATCGACTCTTTCGTGAACACTCATGCCACCCTGCCCTTTCTCTCTCCATCTAGATCATTTCTTGCTCCCTACCTGTCTGCCTGCTGCAATCCTGCCCATTCTTTGAGCTGCAGCTCACACGCCGTTAGTCTTTAAACCTTCCCAAACCCCCCAAGCAGATGTAACCTCTCCCTACATAAAATCCTGACCGCACTTTATTACACTTGGCTTTGCATTCTGATTTTGCAAACTTCCTATTTACTCAACTACTCTGCCACCTCCCTGAGAACAAGCACCGTTCCTTATATAACTTTATCCCCTGGGAGTTAGTTACCCAGGTTAGTGCTTTGGGCAAAACAGTCAATTAAAAAAAAGAGAGAGAGAGCTGTGAATGATTGGGATTTCTAAAATCAGAGCCAGGATGTTGGAGCAGGTATAGCTTTTCAAACGTTTTAATCCCTCCTCATAACTCTTCTTATTTACCCCAAAGCTACCAAAACACACACACTCACTCTCTTCCCCCTCCTCCCCCCCAGGGATTAAAACCTAGCCTCACTCCTAATTTAACCCAAGACTGGACATTTGACTTCACTGACTCATTCAATGAATTTTTATGCAGGCAGACTACATGCCAGACAACAGTGACAAGACAGAGAGGGTTCCTGCTTAAGGACCAGAGAGCTGACATTCTAGCTGACAACCAATCAATACTGAACACGTTTAGATACCAAAAGAACTCTGACGTATATGCACATAAAGGGGATTTGGCAGGAAGTGGTTGATGGCTGGAGTCTATCATACAGGTGGTTAAAGAAAAGGAAGGCCTCTCTGAGGAGGTGATACTTGAATCAAGACCTCTACGTCAAGTCATAGGAAGATCTGGGGCAGAGCACTGAAGGTAGAGGAAAGCCAAGACGAAGGCTCTGGGATAGGAGCAAGCTTGATGTGTTCAGAAAGGAAGAGCACCAGGGCTCTGGAGAGTAGTGGAACTGGGGACTAGAGGTGTGTGTGTCAGGGGACAGGGAAGTGTCTTGAGGAGGTGGAAAGAGGCACGTTTACTTTTTCAGTGTTTTTACAAAATGTGTCGCTTCTTTATAAATGCATGGACTTGCCTCCCTAGGGAATGCGTGTATGGAAAATCCTCTGAGATTTTCAAAGTAAGAATTAAACATCCAAAGAAGGTAGAAAATTAATTAAGAAAAAGGAAATTACACTTACCATAGGAAACAGCACATATTCTCTGAGGAAATCTTGAGAATCAAACTGATGGAAGTCTCCAAAATCAGCTGAGAAGAAAAGAGAGGGGAAGGTTAGTATTTATTATGTGAAATTAAAGATGGAATAAAATAAGAGTAAAATTACCACCACATTTATTATTCCTACTTCATCCTATTTCTGCACTAGCAAATGAAAACAGTGCCACAAGGCGTTTGATATCGTTACCACTTTTACTTAGCAATACTGTAAATATCAGCATGTGAGCGCTGTTACACAATTTTCTAGGGGGAAAAAAAAACAGAGAAATTTGTAAGTGATCCCTAAGCTATTTTAAAAATTTAAAATAAACCTATACTTATGTTTTTGTTAAATATGCATCAACACATATCTTAAGAATATCTGCCAAGGGGACTTTTTAACTCAAGGTTAATTAAGAGAACTGAAGAGCCTAAACCATCTGCATCTTTTCATATATTTGCAGCTGGAAATTCCCACTGTAAATCACCCTTGGCAAGCAACCTTGTAAATTTTTACACCTCCCAAACAAGTTCCCATATTGCAAGATGCCAGAAATTCTGTTTTGTCCTGTTTTCATTTCACGATGGTATATCTGAGCATGCAAAAAAATACAGTGAGTCCATATCGTCAATGTCTTGCTTCTCATCCCACTAGCTCTCAAGAAGAAAAAAAAAAAAAATCAAAACAGCATACAAATTTAATTTCATGTAAGAGATCTGGCATCTAACAGGAGATATGGAATGCAGGAGTCCACACAGAAGGCCAGCGAACAGACGCTGCTGAGAAGACAAGGACGCACCTACTAACTCATCACATAACGAATGATCAATTAATTAGGGGAGGCATTCAAGATAGCGGAGATCACGTGCTCAGCCTAATTTCAAGTTTACTCACCAATCGTCATATTTTATCACAACTTATAACTCTGTGGCTGGGTCTTTCTAACTGCCCAGTAAGGGTTCTCGAGGAAATTATTTTACAAATGTTATAGCTGGGGGAGCTTCCCTCAGATTGTACAGCTAGCTTTAGGACGCAGTGAAAAGAGAAACCAGGCTAATAAGTTCACCAACTTCCTTCAGCCTGAAAGCTATTGTCAGGGTCTTCCACTACCCAGAATTTCTGTAATAAACCCCATGGTTGAAGAGTGAGAGGGGTAAACAGAGAGTAATAAGGTGAACAGAAGAGAAAGCTTTTTGAAAGGAGAAAGAACCAATTTGCAGATGAGGGATAGAGTGGCTCTTCTCTCTCTTTTTCCTATTCAAGGTGTCTTCTCTGTTATTTTGATGATTTTTCTGTTCTATTAATCGTTCTGGGCACTGTTCCTTCCCCTTCTAATCTTTTAAGTGGACGGATACGATCCAACATATTTTGTGTATTTTCATCCACAAGGTAACAATAGCAGCTAACTACTAGGAATCGTACGTCCAACAAAAATTGCTAAACTGCTAATACCCCAGGATGAAATAATCAAAGGAAGGCTGCCTCTTTAGACACTCCAGAACCCAAAAGGTTCAACTTCAGTTCAGAGTTTGGGATGGGAAGTTCAGTTCACAGCTTCTGCAACAACAGTCCACACACAGCAAGGACTCGGCGGCTGGCATTCCATTTGGACGGGAACCGATTTTAAGGAAAAACAATGACTGAAAGAGACACATGTTTCTTTTAAAAAATCACACTTTGATCTTCTTTTCAATATTGACTAAAAGCAATTAAGCCACCACTCAATAAAGAGTCATGTATAAATCTATGTAAAAATCATGTAACGTAGGTTACATAAAAATACATGTAACGATTTAGAAAGATTAAAACAAATAAATCTAAATAGGACAGACTGAAAGGTAAATATACTCCACTACGAGTTTGTTGCTTCATATTACAATCATGCATTTTATTTTATTTTTATTTTTTTAAGTAGGCTCCATGCTGAGCGTGGAGCCCAACACAGGGCTCAAACTCACGACCCTGAGATCAAGAGTCAGACACTTAACCAACTGAGCCACCCTGGGACCCCTACAATTGTGCGTTTTAAATTTCTCTCTTCAACTCTGTGAAATAGGGGCACCTGGGTGGCTCAGTGGGTTGAGCGTCTGCCCTCGGCTCAGGTCATGATTTCAGGGTCCTGGGACTGAGCCTAGCATCTGGCTCCCTGCTCAAGCAGGGAGTCTGCTTCTCCCTCTGCCTCTGCCCCTCCCTTCCACTCCTTCTCTCGCTCTCAATAAATTTTAAAAAAAAGAAAAATCTTTAAAAAAATGATGTAACTGTGTGAGAGTAAATTATACTACAATGTTTAAAGATATCACACTTGAAACTGATGGGAAAGTCAAAGAGTCATAACATGAAGCCACAAAATATGACCACAGTGGGCAGTGGAATAATTCTGAGAAAATGTTCCACAAACCCTGAATGTAGCTTTCATTAAAGGCAGGATGAAAGCTATCTCTTCAAATAAAACTAAAATTATACAAGCATGAACAATTTGCAAACAGCTTTGAGAAAGCCACCAGCCTGCCACCAAAAAAAATCACGATTTCTGCTTCATTTTTTCTATTTCTGCATTTGTAACGTATCTTGGAATGAAAAGTGAGAGTTACTAAGGGATCATCTAAGTAAATTCAGTTTTTCCCTCTGAGAGGCCAGCAAAACTGCAGTCAAAGGAAAACTGGGATTTCACATGGCGGCCACCTCGCTCCTTACCTTGCACAGCCAAGCCAGCCAGCCGGATCACCTGTTCCAACGTACACCGCAACCGCCCTTCAAGCACGTCTTTTTTGACTTGCAGGTAATACTGATATCTGGTCGTGGGAACACAGGAACAAATAATCTTAAAAACACATACTTGGAATATGTTCCCCACAAGATCAGTGTCTCTAGATGTAAAACCCTGTGTACCCAGCAGGACACACAGGTGATGCCGATAAAGGTCAGCTCCATAAAAGATGGAAAGTGCCCTCTGCCTGTGTTTATCTTCGTTTGATGTGGCAAGTGCCACATCCCGTGCATTCTCAGTTTGAGAGCATTCTCATCAAATCATCTCACTGTAGGTCAGCAGGATGAAATACTTGATAAGGACCAGTTCTTCATAACAGAGACCGGGAAGGAAAATGCTCTTCCACACCTGGACACCCACGGCAACAGGGCTGCCAAATCGACATCCCAACAGCGGTGTATTCCTAAAACAATTCTGGAAACACGCCATTTTTAAAACTCAACAGTTTGGTGGGATGGATCACAAACAGGTCAAATCATTTGGCATTCTGCTAGTGGCTAGGACAAAGCTTTTCAGAGCGAGGCTCACCCTACAGGTCTGTGACTCACAAAAACCCAACCCGAAGTACAGCCTCAACCCAGCAGAGTGCAGGTAAACAGTGTGTGCCCATGTGCAACATCCAGCCTCAGAATGGACCGCTGCCCTCAGAAGCCAATAAAGCTGGACTCTTGGAATTACCTGAACATTTAGAAATCTCCTCACCCCCAAACCTTTCTTCCTAGCACTCTCCTTCCCTTGACCATACTCTTAAAACACAGTCCCCTCTAGAATGGACTTATCCTAGCATTAATTCTTGGCAAATGCTAACAACCTTTCTGCTCTTGGTAACCATGACTCTCTACTTTTTCTAAACTTGGGACATGGCAATCCAGGGAGCTCAAGAGTGATCCAAAGCTCAACTCTTTTAGAGAGGGGCAATCAGCACTGAGAGCTAATTACTGTCGTCTCTACCTTGATATCACGGATATCATTACACGGCAATCCAATGCCTATGTGAGGGAAGGACTCAGGGTCTCTACCTCCTCCATAGAGTCTCTACTTCCTCTCTCCTCTTGGGTCGACTGGACGGGGGTACAGACAACCATGTCAGTCTCTGGTGGGAAAAATCTATACTCCAATCAGAAGGACCAACATGGAGTTATTAAAAAATTCGTTTTAGTAAAACTTAGTATATAATAGAAAAACAGCATGTTCTTTCTACTCCCACCCTACCTTCACCTAAAATTAGCCATAATCATCTTACAGGCTCCGCTACTGAATCGGTGATTGTACTTCCTGTCCACATCAATTGATTAAATCAAGTAATGCATATAGTAAGTACCGGCGCTGATTTTCAGAGACAAGTCCCTGGTATGGGCAGAAAAGCTTTGTGCCCACTCCGTGCTCTGACATCAGTGGACACGGCTCCATTTCACCTAGTTACTCTCTCCTTAGCTGGTGAGGCGCACCATGGATTCGAAGCCCTTACACAGAAGAGCACGTGGCTAAAAGTCTTTGGCTGGTAATGAAGGAGCAGTGCTGCTGTCTCCCGAAAGTGCATAGACTAATAAGGAGGCAATCCTAGGCAGGATACTTTCAAAAACCCTGTGAAATTGAAGGCGCTGCCTGGGTGGTGGGGGGGAGTTTTGGGCAATCATCTGCCATGGAAGGAAAAGCGGAAGTCGTAACCTGTCTCTTCATTAGTCACAGCAGAGAAGAGAGTAAATGAAAACATTCTGAAGTAATAATTGTGTATGAATTTAAAGAAACACCAAGAGTAGGTCAAAATAGAGAAGACTGAAGAAATGTGGTTCGCTACAGTTAAAATATGCCTCATGTTATCTGCTGGTTCCCTTTTTTCACCTGTTCACTAAAGTCCCCAAGCTCAGGTGTATTCAAGCTCAACGTTTGCAAACGTTTAGCCCAAGGTGAGTTAACACTACAGAAGTGTGTAGTCCTACGCACTCCCATAATACAGGCGCCTACTGTTTGCCTACTTTTCTCCCATTCCAAGGTGGAAAAGAGAGCAAGCTGGGCACACGGTAAGTGTCAAGGCTCTCGGGTTCCATGGTTTTATTTGAAGCTGCAAGAGCTCCAACAGAAATGGCTTACGTTAGCGCCTCTGCTTCAAGGACTGTGCCCCCTGTCAATCATGAGCAAAGCTCAGCTTTTACAGCCTTACCTAAATAACAGATTTATGGGGGCGCCTGGGTGGCTCAGTCATTAAGCATCTGCCTTCGGCTCAGGTCATGATCCCAGGGTCCTGGGATCGAGCCCTGCATCAGGCTCCCTGCTCAGTGGGAAGCCTGATTCTCCCTCTCCCACTCCCCCTGCTTGTGTTCCCTCTCTCGCTGTGTCTCTCACTGTCAAATAAATAAAAATTCTAAAAAATAAATAAATAAATAACAGATTTATGTCTAAAAGTATAATCTGATGCACACTATTAGTTCACCACCTGGGAGAAAGCTCAGTAAAACCTGAACTAGGAGGGAAAACATGGGCTTCGGAAGCCTACTTCCCTTTCCATGTAGCATAGCACATTTCCTGTTTGTGTTCCCTCCCCTCAAGGTTCTTCCTCAGCACCGTCTGCCATGTTCTTTCCTTGTTCCCCAGCCTGGTTCTTGGTTTTCCGCTGTCACCTGTCTTGTGCCTCTGGGCCAGTTTTCAAGGAAACAGTAAAAGCTCCACTCATTCATGTAAGGTCACCTTCCCTTCAGGAGACTGGGAACTGCCCATGAGCCTTTTATGGAAGATCTTTTATGCTTCTAACCTAGCCGGTTCTTAGAGAGGAGAACACCTCCTTGTGGAAACTGAGGCAAGGAAGGGGGGTCCTAAGTCAGCAAAAGATCTTTTAAGTGTCAAGAGTTCATTGTGAAAGCAGACAGATCATTGAAGAGGAGCCACTTAGAGTCTGAAGACCATACTTCCTAAAGTAGGAGAAGAAGAAGAAAAGAATGATGAGAAGTGTTACTTCATCTTATTGCCAGAGGATCCTGTTGGGACTTTCTTCAGAAAAGTTTTAAAGGATATCAAAACCAAATAAAACAACCAAATAATAACAACAAAACCCCAGAATTTCAGGATAGGAAGGAATCTTAAGTTTACTGAAGAAAAGTACAAATGGGATTCTCAAAAAAGAAAAACAAAACAAAACAAAATACCCAATTTCAAGGTAGGAAAAAGTGGTAAAGTTCACCTACTCCTCCTTATCTTACAATGTCAAATCTCTTCCATATGCCATCCATTCCTTGCCATCTTGAGTGTTTTTTTTTTTAGATTTATTTAATTTAGAGAAAGGGGGAGGGGCAGAGGGAGAGAGAGAGAGAAAATCCTCAAGCAGACTCCCCACTGAGCTGAGAGCCCGTCGATCCCACTGACCCTGAGATCACCTGAGCCAAAATCAAGAGTTGGCTACTTAACCAACTGAGCCAGCCAGGCACCCCATCTTGAGCAGTTTTGACTTATTTTCTGCTCTCCAAGCCCAGGAGAAACATGGATATTGACACTTATTAAGCACTTCCTGTATGCAGAAGTTGGTTCAATGCTGAGGGACATCCTGGAAAGGTTTACGACAGTCTCTGCCTTGCGGGATGCTCATCCGCTCTTGAACCACTGACGTCATGGTTCTCTCTCTAGTGCGCTATTAAGGGCTCAATTTTTAAGAACCAAAGAGTAAAGCATTTTAAAAGGTGTTACCCTAGCATTACCTGCCATGGCTAGAGCCTTTGATCAGCTGATACCTCTGGGAATATAATCCATGGGATCCAGCAAAACAATAGTTACAGTTTTCTTATCCTGCTGATTCCAATTTCATCTACAGCTATCACTTCTATAACACACGAGGGAGTTTTAGAACAGATCCACTCCATTCTAGGCAATGGTCTGTCCTAATCCACTAGCAAGGAACACCAGGATTGCTCCTGGTCGTTCAGGTTAAACATAAGCTTGTACTGGGACACAAAACAGAGGAGCTGAAGAAAGCAGAGCTCTTTCCTGGAAGCCATCCAGATTACGAGAGAATCTGAACAGCATTAATGATATGCTGCTATTACCATGTAAGACTGTGGAGATTAGGATGTGTGATCGCAGAAATGAGAACGAAACTGGACCACTTTGGAAACTGTTTGGGAGTGTTTTTGCTCAAAAGGCGCTTTTGTAAAGTATAATAATTCTATCCTCTATGAAGACTAAATTAGAGAATATGAGCTGAAATTCTATTTCTAGGATGTTTGGCTTTTGCTTATTTTTGATTAGAGATTCAATTCTAACAGTGGTAAAATATAACAGTGAATCCTATTTTGGAAACATGCAATTTCACGGAAGTATACTCCACCCTGTCATAGCTTTGGGTGGAGGGAGGAAAAAAAACACACACACACACACACACACACACACATATCAATCCTCATGCCAGGAAAGTAAGTATTTGCCAACTTTCCAAAGGGATCCTCTTTGAAAACCCAACCTCACAAGGAAAACGTTTTAATATTTTTCATATTCAAAGACCTGGAAATAGTCCATCTGACTGCTGGGGTCCAATGAATGGTTTTAGGTTAGGATTCTGGTCTCCCTCTACCAACTGATGAATATAACTACGCTTGTTGAGGAAAGGTAAAATTTCTACTTTCAAAGTTTTTTGCTTTGTTTTTGTTTTGTTTTTAAACCGTAGAGATTAAAATTCAGGTTTCTCTAGGGGAAACAGAAAAGCTTCCTGACAGTCAGTGCTGTTAAATACTACAACTGACAGATAGTATGAACCAGTCTTGGGAGGTCTTGTCTCATCTGTCTGGAATAGTTCCATCCAATCTCAAGAAAATAAGTGACTTTTCCATGTTCCTTCCTCCCCCTGAGATTCTGTAAAGGAAGTTTTAAAAAATGCCATACTGGGTCAAATCAATAGAGCATTCAGTACTTCTGACAGTCGTATCAAAGAACTCTTTCAAAATTATACCCTGTAACATTATCCTCAACATTTACAGATGTACCGTTCAGATCTTCAATCTCTCTTTTCCATTTATATGTGCGGCATTTATCTAAGCACTTATG